CTCCTCTTTCCAAATTGTCCATTTTTGTGGAAAATCCGAGCGTCAGTAAGGGAGACATTATTGTACAGTAATGTCTCCCTAACTGACGCTTAGATTGTGCAGAAGAACGTACAATGTGGGAACAGGAGATACGATTGTTCCGGCTTTGCACCATGTTTTTATAATCGTTGACAATTCGTGACTATAAAAATGGACCGCAAGGCTCGAATAATCGTACCTCCTCTTCCCAAATTGTCCATGTTTGTTAATCCGAGTGTCGATTAGGGAAAACTGTATTTTAAAGCTGTATTTTCGTTTACGATTATCGCTCCGAATTCGGGGTTAGTTACCGCCGTTCAACTAAAAAATAGTCAAATATTTTTGTGGAAGTCCGAAACCGTTGCGTAAAAAGTTCCGTCGGCAAAGTGTACAAAGCGGATTCATTGGCGTTTGCATGAAATCCACAAGCCGGAAATTAGAAGTTAGAACGAGGAGCGCGTTCAGTGGGAAAGTTTCCGCGGCACTTAGGCGACAGCTTCGAAATATCTTTGATGCGGCCACCGAATAATATATCACGTCCCTCATTGTTGTCAGGCGCAATCTTCCACGAAGGCGACGAGGAGTACGAGGCTGCGTTTCAAAAGGCGGTGTACGAGGTGGGATTCGAGCACGCAGCGCCCGCATTCGAATTGAAGCCCGTCATAAAGAAGGTGGCGGTTAACACCGACAGCTTCAGGACCGCCGCAGCGGGTTCGTATGAATTTCCAATACCTGTTTAGAAGTAATTTGATGGAGGCGGACGAGCTGCCGGAGAACCAGCCGAGGCCAGCTATTAGTACAACTAATGAACCAATTAATGGCCGTACAGACGAGCCGGAACCATTCGATCGGGAAAGCGCGACGTCGCGCGTCTTGATTAATTGTACGGGTGTCGAGGGGGGAGCGGTCGGGCGTCAATTACCAGCGAACAGTATCGCTGGTAAATAACTATGACGCGCTCATTTCGTTTTCGTTCCATTTTCTCGGTCCTCCATCGGCGCCTCGGCTTTCGCTCGTCCCGATATCGCGATAAATTTCGCGTTAACTCCTTCCCAGGGAAGGGATGGAGCCGATAATAAGTGCCAAGCGGTTAGGATCGCTCCCCGCCTTTGCCACCCCAATAGAATTTCATATTGAAAAGACTCCTCTTTGCGCCGTGTCTCTCGGACCAATAATAAGATCGCTTTTCTTTCTCTAATTGGAATACACTCGACTTTTAATATTTACCCCCAATCCCCGTGTCATCCCTTTGTTACAAGATCAGCGACCCGAGAGACTGAATTTCTTGCGTCGAGCACTCTTTTCCAGGCCACGATAAGTTCAGACTTATTAGAATGGAAGTTTCCTAGAAAATATTGAATATCGATAGCAGTATTATTCGTTTTAAATAGTTACTTGATTGGAAATATTCAGGGTACATTAGCCTGTTTACTGGGTATGTCGAAATAGTTCATTATATCAGGAAAACGATTCCAATAGGCGTGACGAACTTTTTCGACATGTACATTTTTTAAAGTAATATGCGGAGCGCATTACGCTTTACGTCGTTCTCGCCCATTGAAGCCTAGCGTGACCATATGGTAACTCTTCGATTTTGCACAATTTAATTTCGAACACCATTACAAGGTTTCTTATATTTATGATCGCGCTCATAAGTCATGTCTTCAGTATCGTAACTGTCCAATGACTTGTGAGCAGGAGTGCAGTAAATTAAGGGTGTCATTCCTTGGGCAAATGTCATCACTCGTCGTCCTTCTTTGATGCCAAAACCATCGAGATTAATCACAAGACATTTCATTTCATCCATTAAATACCATATAAATCTTTAATAAATATTTCACCGCGAAATAATGATTTCAATTTGTTTAATTTATTCTTTGCTACATTGGAAATATTTGATTTATATATTTTCTATGAACTGAGTGTTTCCTTATCATTTGTGCTCACATTTTTTTGTGCATTTCTGTTAATCAGATAAAAAGATGTTTCCAACAAATGTTTATCGGTTCTCTGTTTGCTATACGACGAAATATTACATTTTAAAGAATTGTTATTTTTTCGATAAAAAATCGGGGTTGTCTTAATTTTCTTAAGTCGCATTGCATATCTTTTATTTCACATTAAGACGAATTCTAGGACGTGCTATAGCACATGACCTTCGGCTGAACTTGAATCGAAAAATTTCAGTTCAATCACCCCGGAAATAATTATTATCACAATTTTTAGTTTGGAAATCGTTGGATACGAACACGTGGCTCAATTCACTGACCACCGCATTCTCCAGATATGTCTCTTTAGATTTTTATCTTTGGGGATATCTGCAGTCCATCGCTTATGAAAAACCAATTGACAACATCCAAGAACATTCGAGAATGCAAAATACACGCATGTAGTAACATAAACCATAATGTGTTAATTAATGTTACAACTAAAAGTGTAGTACAGAAAGCGAAGTTCTGTCTTGTAAACCATAGATTCCAGTTCGAACATAGGTTGTAACATAATGTTTCTGTAATAATAACACTTTCGTAATAAAATAATTATATCATTGTTTAATTATATCATTGTTTTCTAATATATTCGCAAGAAAAAGATTTATCCAAATATTCTGAATACTGCAATTAAAATCCCTAATCCAACAGATAAACAAGTCTTGCTTACATTAAAATAAAGTATATTTATAAAACAAATAAAAAAAAATCATGAGCAGTGTTGCCTATTTATTTTTTTAATTAGAGTTTCCATTTTCAAGCGCTTTGCTGTAGAAATATGCCGGACCTGTTATGCAACGGTATTGAAGAAGTAATCGGAGCGCTAAGAGATAAGTTTGCAAATCCATTTACATCACAGACTTGGAGGTTTTGAACTTTTGAATCAGGATTATGTTATTCGCATTCCCCTCTTTGGTATCACATTGCATCAATAGTATACTACTACTATATAGTAGTAGTTTATGGTATTATTTTGGACGAAATTATAGTCATTTACTGATAGGATATGAAATATCCATGTTCGCTGTTCATTCACTGGCGATCATTACGATCTCTCACCGAATGTATGAACACTTAATAATATCGATAAAGTTACAAAAGCAATATTTTTCTTTAAAAGAACTTCGGAACTATAACATTGCACAAAGAAACGTATCATAATTTCATTGGACGCGTCATAAAATACATATTACAGATTTCAAATCACAATACCTATCTTGACCGTATCTGCCAATCAACAATGTGCAACAAATTATAAACAAAAACAGAATAGCATCTGCAAGACATCTATAGCTGTATAATAAGGCTACTCTTTTTATATAATACATGAAACGTTGATTCACACTGGGGAAAGTTCGTCAATTAAACAGATCACTCCAGTATCGAATAAAACTGCTTGTAAAAATCATTGTCTCGGCAACTATCGAAGGTCCTGTTAAAATAAATTGGTAGCTGGTGATGTTTGATCAGTTTCGAGAATAAATCGGCAATGCAGCGATGTATCAGACTTAAAAATTGCTCTGTTTGCTTCCTAATGGCGCCTCTTCGCTCACAATATACTCGCGACAATTTCTTATTTATTGAATGAAGTTATTATTTTCAGTTCATTACTACAGAAATTGTCTGAATCGTTTGTACATCCATTGAACGTAAAAGTAACTTTATTTTTCTTCCGGCAGTAACAATGCTGCCAAACCGCACAAAAGCTACAACCAATCCGTTCTACACCATTCTTTCCCTCTACATCATTATTGTAGCTTTCCCCGCAGGACCTGCAGAACCAATCTTCTTTACATTTCTCACTTGTTGAGAAATACAATCTCGGCCATAAGAAATACATGGTATTCTTGTGAGAAAAAATATTGCAATTTCAATATTATATTTACCTTCCAATGTTTTACGTGACATACAATTCAAGAATAGAATGAAAAATACTCGATACGAACAAAACGCATCCTATTGCTTCTCCAGAGTTTAAGTATGATTCGGGAGACTTTTCGTGTACTTTCTCGCACGAGTAGAGAAATTGCATTCCGTTCGAAAAAATAAGCATCTAGTAACTCGTTAGTAAAATGTGCAGATCGAAGTATTACTTAACTCGATCAATAAATTCGATTTGCGAAGAAGTTGCGTGCTTACATGAAATTACTGTTAGAAATCGACGGCAAACCACCAGTTACGCTAACGTGTTGGCAAGTACAGTAAATTCTCTCCAATTTTCTTCCAGCTTGTAAATAAAAATGGACAATTTGGGAAGAGGATTGAGTTGAGAGGAATGAGTCTCGCGGCTCATTTTCACAGTTGCCGATTGTCAGCAATTATAAGAACAAGGTGCGAGGCTCGAATAATCGCATCTCCCGTTTCCAAATTAACCATTTTTGTTTACAAGATGAAGGTCAGTTACAGAGATTTTACTGTGCTCACTTTAAATAATACACTTTGTTTCAACAAAAGTGGCTTCCATAAAATTACTATTAAAAATCAACAGTGCTTCACTGTTCTAGCAACTCGTTGGCAAAAATGTGTAACTCAATGTACCAATAATTTATGATAATAGATGTATGAATATCTGAAAAAGGTTGCTCCAATAAAATAACTTAGAAATCGGACATTTCTTACGCAATAGCTCAATATAGTTTTTGCACTCCAAATTAATTCTTTTGCAGACCATATTCTCCCTTTTTCACTCAAATTTCATTCTTTCGTAGATCGTATTTCCATTTTCGTACTCCAAATTAATCCTTTCGTAGGTCATATTCACCTTTTTGCAAATCAAATTAACCCTTTCGCAGGTCTCATTCACCTTTTCGCAAATGTATTCCACCCTTCTAGAAATTAAATTCACTTATTTCTAATTATCGTAATAAAATCCATATAAAATGTCATAAATAACTATTGAAAATGAATGAAGATTAATTATTCGCAATGAAACTTGTATTATTTTATAAATAACTATATTAATTCCTAATGAACACACAAAAACGTGATAAAAGACGGTCGACTTTGCTCTGCGACAGGATTAATTATAAAAATATAAATACGATCTCCAAGATTACTTTGTAGCGTAGAAAGCTGGATATGGTCTACAGAAGGATTAATTTCGAGCGCAAAGCCCGTAGTTGCAAATAAAGTAATTCTTGTCGCTCGGTCGCGAAATAAGTAACGGGGCAAGGGGTTAATATTTTCCACGGTAACAAAGAAACGCAGAAACATCACGGGCAAAGTTTTTAGCAGCAAACCGCGTTACGGCGTAGCAATCTTGATTTCCGTGTAGCTTGCTCTCAGTTTACTCGTAACCGCTTACGTGGCCACCCCTTCTCAGCCAATCTCGAGGGCGCTTCATTTACACAGTTAATGCGATGTAACTTGCGGAACGGGCAATGCGGAGGACACCTTTAACGTTGCAGCTTGCGAGCTCATCAAGGAAGGTGTGGCAGCAATCTTCGGCCCTTCCAGTCCCTATACACACGGCATCGTAGCGAGCACCGCGGCACGTTTCGATGTCCCGCACATCGATTATTTCTGGCGACAAAACGAGGAACTGCAGGTCGACCAGGAGGAGAACAATCGAACGTCGATGACCGTTAACGTGTTCCCCGATAGCGATATGGTCGGCAAGGTAAGCGGAAGTTTCAGTGATAGTCCTAGATAAATTAACTGCGGGATGTGGGATCGAGGAGCTTCTAAGATAGCCTGCACCTTAACCCCATGTTTTGAGAAATTATGGTAATCCTCCAAAACAGTGATATTGATTCGGATAATAGCCATTTGAGAAAGCTTCGCGCAGTCCCTCAGGTTGTAAACAAAAATTTGTGAAACATGATAATTTAATTATACAATGGCCCTAGGGAATGAATGAAACTATTGGTGTAATTTACGTTTATTTTTATTTAATAAGCGTACACAAAAGTTTTATTGTATATTTTATACAGCTTTCCATTTATACAATTACACTTTTGACTGAATTTTGCACCAATATAAAGTAAGATAGAAAATTACAAATTTAAGTGAATTTATTGCTTTGTCCATGAACCCTTGACACTTAAAGCGGCTGTAATATTCTTCTCGGTGTACTAACAACTAGATTTATGTAGACTTCTTGAGGGATTGCATACCATTGTTGTTCAGTAATTTCCCATAAATCCTTATCCAAATTACGCGATAAAGAATCATATTCATCTTGTAATTATTTTCCTAGTACAGTCAATTCTCTCCAATTGTCTCTCAGCTTGTAAACTGGAACTTTTAAGTTCTGGAGCTTGTGACATCGACAATTTAGCAAGAGGAGGTACGATTATTCGAGCCTCGCGGATCGTTTTTGTAGTCGCCGATTGTCAACGACTATAAAAACAAACTGCGAGAGACTCGAATAATCGTATCTCCTCTTCCCAAATTGTCCATTACTTTTTACAAGCTGAAGGACAATTCGAGAGTATTTACTGCATTCATACTTCACAAGCAGTCATGAAGTGATGATGATAAGGAAAACGTGTATATATATATATATATACAGTTTCAATTAAAAAATAATAATGCAATAAGAGCACAAATAAATATTGCAAAAATTTATATTTGCTGAAACACAATTTGTATGTTTACATAACACTTTAACATTACTTTAACATAAAGTTATACCAGTGAATGAAAATTTGTTAGTTGGATCTAAATTTTACAGATCTGTTACATAGATCTAGACTAGTCTATATTATATTACAGATTTTCTCACTATTTGGTTTAAATTGCACACATTTGTAACACTATAAATATATATATATATAAATATAAAAATGTATTTATGACTGGACTTGTATATGTAATATTAATACTACATTCATTTAATACTATATAACTACATAATAATATTATGTAATATTAATAATTTAATACTACATAATATTTATACTACATTCGAATGGCCTTCAATGTAGGGTACTGGAGCCAATTACTGTGCTGTTGTAACAAATGCTATGCGTTTGGTTTATTTTCAGGCATAATTGATTTTATAATATTAAAAAATGAACAAAATAAAAGAATATAAAAACTTAATGTGACTTATTCGATAAGTATGAAGTTTCTTATACCTGAAAACAAAACAAATGCACAACAATTGTTCACCTCATAGTAATCGGCTTCACTAACTTGCTAGATCATTTATCGGAAGCTGAGTAGGAAAATTATGAATTTGTAAGTTCGTTTGTTTCTCGTGAATTATTCACGCTAATTTGATACGAAAGTAAACCTTTGTTGTCGACAATGTTTTATGCTGTAGAAACGTGTAAATAATTTCAATACCATCAGTTTCCAAATGAATAGGTCAAACGTAAACTCTTTGTCTGAATCGAATAGGATGAGCACCCCTAACATCGAGCACATAAACAAAAGAAATATATATTGTTCTATTTAAATATTTGTTGCTTTAATTACAAGTCAACGCTCTTAGAAACCAAACTGTAGTAACAAAACAACCAAAATTGTCACAACACTTAAATTAAATTAACATTAATTTATAAGTTACATTTTAGTTACTTTTAAGTTACTTTTACTTACTACATTAAATTATAAGTTATTAAATTAAAGAAATGTGGACTGGCACTTAATATCAGACATTGCAAGCGTATCTAAATGATTGCATGATAATTTTACGATAAATCCCGACAATCGCATATACAGTGCTCGGAATAATCAATCAAATAATTTCGTTCCACAAAATTTTGGTGATATACAAGACCTAGCTACAGTGTAGATAATTAATGTTAAAATAACAATAACTCGAACAGAAATAATGTCTTCAAGCTGAAATTTTTACTATGATCTGTGATATTGAAGAAAATTGTGTATTGTTGGAAATTTATTGGAAATTTAAGTTTGGAAAATTGGAAAATTAATTTGTACATAATTTGATTGTATGCAAAAAATACTATAGAAATATATTTTTGCAAAATTTTATTTAGAAAGTTAAAAAAAAAATGCCCCCTTAAAAAGAATATTAAGAAAATTCATAAATAGAATTAATTAGTCCGCGCCATTTGAGTGTTTATAGTAACAGCTAGATATTCTAACTATTATAATAATGTCTGTGAACCCAGTTGAGTAAGATGATGTGAAAAAACAATGATAAAAGCGAAAGAGACGCCAGAAATGTGTACGAATTATCCAGAAAGTTCACAAAGTAGCGAATAATTAAAGCGATTCCAGAGCGAGAGAGTTTCTACGATTCAAATATAGTTTTCAATCACAAATTGATTAAAGTGAAATGAAAACGACATAATATCAGTAGGAAGAGCCATGGAGTCACAATTGAAAGGCACGCCGCCTAGGGTCAGCGGAACAGCAGCACGCATCGGAAAATGCATACCATGCATCGAAACCGAACCTCCGCCATAATTTCCGTTCCAATTTCAATACGCCGATCGTCCTGAATATAAATACCGCCCGAGCGAAGAATGGCAGCTGTCCCTTGAGATGGAAGACCGTCTATATTAAAAACAGCTCGCACGATTAATCTCGACGCGACTCAGCATTGCGCGAACGCGATCTCGCGTCTGACACTTTGTGCGTAATATTTCAAAGCTCGGCGAAATGTGACGAACGCGGAGGAGCCCGCGACAGGCTGGCGGCATTGCGCGGCATGGTGTGGCATGGGTGCACTATGCCGCGCCGTGGCACGAAGTTCCGATGAATTTTAAATTACGCGTCAAACGAGGCAAATCGAGCGGACTCGAAGTAGCTCGCGCATTAAACCAGTAAGCCGAAGCTAATGAGCACGATCAAAGGCTGAACTTGAGCTAACGACTTTCGAACGGCTTCCTTTGCTTCTCCCTTTTCGGCGAGCAGCGGAAAAATATCGCCGACCGCGACACAGTCGATAAATTAAACAAATGACACCATCGCCGCGATCAAGTGCGATCAAAATTGGATTTCGTTTCGGTAACATCGAACAGATTGGAGAACGCTTTGTGGTCTACGTGGTTTGCAACATTGATTTTTGCACGTTCAAGTCCCGTTCGTTGCGGAATCCTTACGAATTTTGTTCCGACGCGGAACAAGACGAATACAACGCTGTATTCTCTCTTATTCAGCATTAATACAGCGATAACATCAATTGTACGATTATTCCGACAACACCTGATCGCGCTCCGAACGCAGGTAGCGCGAGTTATGTCACGTCATAACGTCCGTCATTCATCTGTTGAGTATTTCGACCGATTAGCGGGTCTAAAATATTGCAACGTTGTTTATAATTCTAAGATCATGAAATATAATATCGTTAAATTCTTCTTAACATCAGTTACGATGCTTTGGAGAGACCAATTATTGTGTCTCTGATTTGTTTTAGGGCACAATTTACTTTATATTTATCGAGTAAGATATATTAAAGTGTTTTATTCAAAACTAGACAAATTAAAAGAATAATTGATTACCACACAACTGGCGCTACTACCTTTGTACTATAAAACCACTATAAAACGCGAACGAAACGAACCGAACTTGCGGAATGTTTGGATATTCGAGTATCGGCGTAATTTGAACCAGAGGACTCGCTTCTCGAAACGATCCGAGAACTCAAATAACCGAGCAGCTTGGATGGAACCGAATAATTCGAAGGAAACTGAACAATTTCAAAGACATCGCACGGTTCGAAATAATCCAAACGGTTCGAAAGAAAGCGACCGGCTCGTTGAAAGCGTCACTTAACATTACCAGGTCCCATGTGACAATTAACGCGCCGTTCATGATGAAAGTACACATCCGCAATTTCAAAAAGTCATTACAGTACGCGTTTTATTGCGCATTCCATCGCTTCATGCAGCACATTTTACTTTGCCAGTTGTGTCATTTGTATAGACACTTTTTTTGCAAATTACTGCGATCGTTACTAAATCGCTTACCTGACAATTATTAATGCTGTTTTTGTAGCCTTGTAAAACCAGTCGAATAAAAATTTACTTGGACTCGTTTTAAGCGTGAAGCCTCTATTGTTATTTTTCTTACTGATTAGTTTTCAATAACACTCTACACACTGTTTCAAGAATGGTTGAAATCGACATTGATTTGAAGATTAAAGTATCTTATTTACGACAACCCTAATAGCATATTCATTTTTAGGCATATTCATTATTGAAGTGAGAAGAAATGTCAAAGTCGAAGAACGATGTGTATACTCAAGAATATTTATACAGCTGAATAAACATTATGGTGCGAACGAAGAATATTCGGTAAATTGAAAAAGCCGGAATGCAAATTGGTCCTTGAAAAATGATTACGGTGGAGACGACAATTTGCACGCTTTAAAATTGATCATAGCTTTTATGAAGCACTGCGTGCAATGTAATGGTAACGTCCCTTATATTTTGAATGCTTCAGCATTTGCGTGCGGTCTTGTCTTCGAAATCCGTATTTGCGACTTTCCAATCCTTGGGACATCGTAGATTTATAAAGAAATTCCTATATCGTACAATATAAAAATACCTCAATACCCTACCAGCTTCTTTCCACTTTCTATATGTCGTGCTTCCTCGAATCCTCCCCTGGAATATGTTTTCGTCCTCACTGAACCAAGAAACGCGTAACTTTTCCTTTCCAGATTTTTACCTCCACGAAATTGCTTGTTATAAATGCAATAGATTCGACTTGAACTCTTAAATTTGTTGTATTTATCACGTTGCGCTGGATTTTCGATACCGCGGTGCTCTCCGGGAAACAAGGCAGTGTAGAAATTGCTACGTTACATCGATACTTGTCCTACCTCTGTTGCCTTTTTATCTTAACGTTATCCGATAACAGCGTTTGCTTTTATTTTAAATAATATCTCAAATACTGTATCCGATTGTAACGAATGCGTTCATTCTCTGAACTTTCTTTCTTTCTTTCTTTCTTTCTTTCTTCCTTTCTTTCTTCCTTTCTTTCTTTTTTTCTTCCTTTCTAAGCTACAGAAAATAATGCTCGAGATTCTTTAAAATTCCAGGTAATTTACAATAAACAATTCTAAATGCAGCGAGGCGGTGTTACATTTCCGCGAGATCAGCGAGTTATTCCACTCGCACACCTCTACGGCTTATTAACTAATTATGTGATGATACACTGTGTTGCAGCTCCCACGAGGGCACTGCTTACGCGCATGCGACCATAATTCGCAATGCGTATTACAAACTAATTAACACGGACATTTTTCTCGCAACATTCTGTCCAGCGTGAACATTATAGCGCTGCGAGCGCAATTGATAAAGCAGAAACATCGTATAATTGATACGAATTATGTTGTCTCGTATCGTGATTCGCTTTGCAAATATTTTAGCACGGTAAATATTTAATGGGATGACCGCTCGGATACGATTGCGAAAGTTATTAAAAATTTAACAAACCAGAAGATCCATTTTCCGTCCACTTTCGAACGACACGCGAACATATTACTGAAGTTTTTTAATTTAACATGAGCGGAACAGCGACGCAGCATACTAGTGGCCTCGAAAGCGAAATTTTGCGGATTTAAATACAATTTGGCGGACGTTCCCTATGCGATTTCGCGAGACAGGAACTGGGACATAATACCAAACTATTGCGCTGCTGTACATATTGGACCATAGACTATTCCAGAATAGTTTCATAGATCCAGGTTACACGGATAGCGAAGGTAGTTCTGCGTCGTTTAACATTACCAGGCCCCATGTGACAATTAACGCGCCGTTCATTATGAAAGTACACATCCGCAATTTCAAAAAGTCATTACAGTCCGCGTTTTATTGCGCATTCCATCGCTTCATGCAGCACATTTTACTTTGCCAGTTGTGTCATTTGTATAGACACCCTTTTTGCAAATTACTGCGATCGTTACTAAATCGCTTACCTGACAATTATTAATGCTTTGTAGCCTTGTAAAACCAGTCGAATAAAAATTTACTTGGACTCGTTTTAAGCGTGAAGCCTCTATTGTTATTTTTCTTAGTGATCAGTTTTCAATAACACTCTACACACTGTTTCAAGAATGGTTGAAATTGACATTGATTTGAACATTAAAGTATCTTCTTTACGACAACCCTAATAGTTCGATATACGATTGTTTATTCACTGTTTTGTTCAGGTTATTTAGTTTTGTATTTAACTGTGCTGGGACCATAATCACTCTTGTACGAGACACTGCATTATGATGCCAAAGCTTTCTCAAAGGAAAGAAACATTTAAATAAACAAAGTAGTTTGGTTTTTCGAAATAGGATAGAGTACACATACAGTGTATCCCAAAAATGTCTCGGAATCTGAAAATGGGGGTTCCTGAGGTCATTTGAAGTAACTTTATCCTTAGCGGAAATGCAATCCGCGGCTTCGTTTACAAGTTATTAACGAAAAAACAGTGACCAATGAGAAGCGAGCTCGGCCGGCTCGCGCCAGCTGATCTCGCAGAAGAAAAGACAAATAAGAATATTTGTCAGTCTTTTTCGTTAATAATTCGTAAACAAAGCCGCGGATTGCATTTTCGCTAAGGAAAATGTTACTTCAAATGGTAAGTACATGTTTTTTCAACCTTTTTACCTAAGGCTGCAACGAAAATTTAAACACTGCACCTTTATAGAGCTCAGTAAAGACAGCAAAAATCGCAATTTTTCACGACTTTTGATCAATATCTGTAAGAAATCTCGAGATTTTCACATCTTTCAAAGCCTGTAGCTTGTAGCTGCGTTAACCGATTGCGATGAAACTTAGATAAAAGGGTAAAAGAAAGCATGATCTTTAAATCTTTTATAATTCCAACTAATTTTTCGATTATTCCAAAAATCTTTCAAACATTGTCTAATAAACTATTTAATCTAATATCTCAAAAGAATTAAATTTAGTTTAATTTTAAGAAGTTATTATATATATTTCGATTATTCCAAAAATCTTTCAAACATTGTCTAATAAACTATTTAATCTAATATCTCAAAAGAATTAAATTTAGTTTAATTTTAAGAAGTTATTATATATATTTCGATTATTCCAAAAATCTTTCAAACATTGTCTAATAAACTATTTAATCTAATATCTCAAAAGAATTAAATTTAGTTTAATTTTAAGAAGTTATTATTATATATACGATTTAAAAGGTGTTCGAATGCATTCATGACTCACTGTATGTTGTTGTACAATTTTCTTTTACAACAAAGAATGCAGATTTATTACTACAACACTCTTTCTTGATTAATTTATATTATTGATTTAACGCCTGCCAACGAATTGAAACCGATAACATTACTATTATGTATGCAATTAAACAGTGATAAAAATTGAAACGTATACTTTTAGATGCTAGCTGATGTTGTTGGGTCAATGAAGTGGGGAACATTCGCAGCTGTTTATCAAAACAACGGCGGTCTTTCGCGAATCCAACAAGCTCTGTCACTTAAACGGAACAAGGACACTGTGGTCACGATAAGGAAGATCGGCGATGGGCCAGATTACCGACCTGTTCTAAAGGAGATTCGAGCTATGTCCATCAGCAACGTGATCGTCGACGTCGAGCCGAATAACATCATGGACGTGCTCTATCAGGCGAAAGAAGTCAAACTGCTGGCTGATTACTGCAATTTCTTCATTACGTATCTGGTATGCTCGGTTCACGTAAATATTACTTAATCTTATAATAATTCGTAGAAGCCCTTCTCTGGGTTTTTTACAGACATGCCTCGGCACGTTCCTAATTAATCAGTTAGCTGTGTTTGATGAGTATACTCGTCATGGAGAAGTGGCAGTATTTTGCATTCTGACGAGTATTCTCGTCGTGCGTAAAAAGTAGCTACCATTGGCTATCTGAATTGTAATTTTAATGAAAACAAAAACATATTCTCAAGTTTCAAGATGTTTAGAATATTTTAAGGCCAATCCTATATATACACGAAGGTGTTTACATTGTTATAAAAATAAGATTAGAAAAGAATCGCGATATTGGTGTTCGACATGCCATTATCTATCATTCCGTGTCACTCTACAACAGCAATTTGAATTTTTTATTTTTATAAGTATTTGATTTTTCCTGCGTTTTTCGTGTATTATATATAAAATCAAATA